TTACAGCACATTGACTCTGTCAGTCTCAGTTAAAAATAGCTTTTCCTCTTCAGGATGGATGGAATAGTGTACCCATTCCAAGCTCTGCAGAGCGTTGTGGTTTGTCTGCGAGGCCTCTGTGAAAACATAACCCTTTCAGCAGTCTGGAAAACCTGGATTTTTTTTTTCCCCTCTAACAATTAAAAATAGCGGTGGTACTGTAAAAAGAGTTTCTCTGTTTGCTGCTGCATGCTGTGGTTGTTACCATGTGTTATTAACAACTCTCAGCAGGTGGGTTGTAACAGAAATATATAAATCATTTATTTATATAAGATTTATAGATAATCAGAGATAACACCCACTGCTTGTGAATAGGTCATTCTGCATTATAATATTGTTTATTTCTTTTTTAATCATCTCTAAGTTGTTGAATCAACTGTATTTGTGCAAAAAAATTTCAGTGAAACTCTTTACTCACAATAAGCTCCCCTTGTCACATGATGACTCAAAAGATTTTGTAGGATATTTGCAGCGAAGCTGTAAAGAATCAAAATTCCTTGAGTGCAGAGATCGCATTTTTGAGAAGATTACCTAGTTTACCCTTCAATCCTGTTCCTTTGACTTGGCTGTCCAATCAGTGTATGATGAATGGTCAGGGGCAGGATGGGGCTCTAATAGCCCTAAGTGAATGGCCTGTTAGAACAGCATGTCTGCCGCTCCCAGGAAATTGAATTAGTTTGGAGGCTCCAGTGACGAGCAGGAAGGAGTAAACTCAATCAGACTGCACCTCTTGCAAGATACCCTTTCTCCTTTATGGGTTTCAGTGGTTGCTTTTTTTTATTTGTGGCACGTCAGTCCCCTACATAAGGTCCTTGAGGAAACTAGTCGGCCTACAGCTTTTGCATTTGATAATGGTCTTATTCTAGTGGTGATGAATCTCCAAAGAAATACTCAGCTGTTTAGGCACTGTTGAAACCAATTGAAAACTCGAAATGCGTCGTGAGAAGCAGCCAATCCAGTTTATAATTCTAATTCTGTATAAACACACGCCAACACAGCGACCTGAATTGTCGAACCTGCATCACGTCCGAAAACCATGGAATCACAACCGTGACATCACAAATCTAACTGAATGAGTGGTGCCAAAAGAAATGGCGACAAATCCTCTCTGTACTGCAAACGCCATCTTCAGGCAGGCGGAGTCATTGCATCAGTATTTCTTTAACCCACATCAAGAGCACCTTACTGAGAAGCCATCTGAAGATTCGAGCGAATCTCAATTTGGATTTTGGGTGTAGTTTTTGCATATCCCTCAAATATTGGAAACAGTACTTTTTGCAGACACATGTTGCAGGATTTCATATGGCAGTAATGTACTGATGTGAAGGGCTGGGATATTAAAGATAAAATCTGACTGAATAATTTTAGTCAGTGATGTTAAAAAAATTAAAACATAGACTTCCTAAATTATTCACCATGTGTGCAGCTTTTCTTACACGAGTACTGCTGCCAGCAAGAGATGACGTTGGGGAAGGTCTGTTTTCCATGTTAGTCAATCATTAGTGTTAAAAAGCAAAGTTTGTGTTCTGATTAGAGGTGTAACGGTACGCTAAAATCGTATTCGGTTCGGTACAGTGTCTTGGAGAGTTCGGTTCGGTTCATTCGGTTCGGTACAAAACAATAAGAACTTACATAATCTTTATTTTGAAAAGCTGCCAATACACAATAGAATTCTTGCATAAAATAAATAAAAGTGACACATTTGGGTGATATTTTAAATAAATTGCACTCTTTATAAAGAAATACACATTTTTTTAAATAAAAAATTAAATACTGCAACTAGTTAGGACCTGAAAACTTTAACACTAGCAACAGCTTCAGCTTGTATATCAACAAAACTAACTTTTTAAGTTTTAGGCTACAAAGATTAACCCATCCACCTTTTCTGAAGAGAGCACAGATCTGGTTGCAGTGACAATATCTCCAGCAGTAGAAAATGTTAGATGTGTTGCCTGCCCGATCTCCGTGGAACAATGTCGGCATACAACTTTAAATTTATCCACTCGTCTATCCCCGTTATGTATTTTAACAGAGAAGCCAAAGTGTTCCAAAACAGGAAACAGTAGTGAGGTGGGAGGGTCTTCAAGCTCTGGCTTCTCTTTCGCTGTTGCCATGATGTTGTCATTTTCTTTCTCGTGCTCTGCTACTCGTGGCGTGCAGCTCTACGGTGCGTCACTCAATAGCGTCCGTGTGGAAACTCACCTAGGAACATAGTTCCGCTGCGCTTAATAACGCACTAATAATAAATGTATATTATTTAATAAAAATACCGAATACCGAAACGGTACGCAAGTGAACCGAAACGGTTCAATACATACCGTAAACCGTTACACCCCCTAGTTCTGATATATAAATTATGATCATTTTCATATCACCCAGTCCTTATGTAGAGGGCTGCATTAAAATTTTATTAATTATCAACTCTCAAACGTTTCAAACAAGGTTGCTGTTATTGCAAAATATTCTATTACATAAAAATAATTCTATTCCTAGATGTATCCCTGCAGTTCTTTTATTTTTGCCACTGCCTAAAGTCCCATAAACGCTGGTTTATTCCTTTTGTCCGATCCACTCAATCTGCTGTTAGTCAATGAAGTGAAGTTGAGGAGCATGTGCTATGTATAGAGCCCTCCGTCTTCTCTAACTACATGTCTGTTAGATACAATAAAACAAGCTGTAGTGCATGAGCCGGTCGGTAATGATCCATGATCCTTAATGCTCCACTTTACAAACTCACACTCTGCAAGAGCCATGTGTACAGTGTCTGTTATCCAGGCAAGGGTCTAATGACCATGTGTTGCTCAAGCGGTGATGCAAATACAAATGTAATTTTGTACTAGATATACTTGGCTGTCCACAAGAATGTGGACTTGAGAGAAACGATGTGTTCGAATGTCGGCTTCGTGTTCAGATGGCTTAAAGGACAGGAAAAAATACACTCAGACTGTATTCAGGATGTGCAGTTGTTTATATTTGTAGCGACTATATAAACACATGCTATTTCTGTTTTAGTGAGCCTGCCCTGTGGTCCAAGACGTTTATTATTGTTAACCCAAGAGAAGGCTGTTTATTTATCCACTTCTGTAAGCATTCCAGTAGTTGAATGGGGTTTGCCAGTTTTAGAGCCAGTTTTAAATACAAAAAAGACTAGTTCCATTGTTTTCTGTGTACCAGAACATCCTTTTTCACTTTTTTCTGCATTTGGTTCCTGCTAATTTAAAAGGAATATCCTAAAGGTTCTATCTGTGTCAGATAGATCTATCTATGTAATCTTAAGAGATGCAACTTACCCCCCTTTTCCTGTTTCATCTGTTAGGAACACTTTGGAACTTGTCCTCCTATGAGCCGCTGAAGATGGTGATCATTAACCATGGGCTTCAGACGATGACTAATGAGGTAATCATCCCTCATTCAGGATGGGAACATGAGCCAAACGAGGACTCAAAGCCCCGGGATGCAGAGTGGACCACCGTCTTTAAGAACACGTCTGGATGTCTAAGGTAATAGAAAAATCCTATTGTTCTGAGATAAAACAGGAAGTTAAATCACCACAGAATGTTACATTACAACAGGAAGTTGCTTGAATAAAGCAGGTTCTCCCAGATTGCAGCTGCTCTCTCGGGACCATACCCTTTTACCTCTTCCAATCTTACAGCATTGTATTTAGCTGTTTGCATGCTTTAGTGTTTAAGCTAAATAAAGCAGCGTTTTCTGTTAAATCGTCTTAAACCTTGCTTCCAGGGTCTTCTGTAATGGGTTATAAATTAATATTCTAATAACAGGTCTCTTCTAATGTGTTCCGCTAATGAACTTTGTGTTTGTTTCTCCAGCCAGTTGTAGGTTTTTGGAAGTACTGATTGACTGTATTATAATATTCTGTTTTGTATTATCATTTATTGCTTACTATCTGAAATAATTATAATCTGCAAGATATCTGTTTTTATACGTTTATATCTGCAGCCAGCTTTCCCTATGCAATTAAAGAGTTCAAAATATAAATCTTTTACGTTACCAAAAAAAACCTGTATTTTGCAAACCTAATGATGCAGGAAATATAACACAGATTGAAAGAAACCCACCTACCTTTTGGTAATTGTAGTCAAGGCAAGTGGAAGTTTTCAATCATACAACCATAACCTAAGTCTGGGAGGTTAAATCCATTCTCACTTTGTATTCTATATGTCCCCCCACAAGGTAGACTTGATGATCTGCTGACTAAAATAGTACAAATAGGAAGATGTTGCTAAATTATAACTAAAGGCGAAAACCAACCATCTTTGTTCTATTTTAAACATCTTAGCTTTCATTATGCTTCAAACCTCTCTGCCGACACTGATCCGCTCCTTTGGGTGTCATTCTAGCAGCTCAGCTTTTGATTAAGATATCCAGTCTCTGAAGGGCTTTATGTTTCCATGGCTACCGTGCATCCGTCCACAATAAATGGAGTCACAATTTTTTCCACACTCCTGTGTTCCAAACCTAAATGGTTGGATTTAATAGACAATTTCTGCATAAGAGGTTCCAGGTTTAGTTTGCCCTTTCGAAAACCAGAAAGGTCTTTGTGTTTTAATGTGATCGAACATGATTGTTCTGACACAAATAAGATCCATGTACAAATGGAAAAGTCAACAGTTTTACACTGACCAGCAGTGACCTGCTGAAACTGACAGAGTAAATTACTCTTCAGATTCTTCTAATTTTCCACCCTTTGCTGACTTCAGATTCATCGGCCATTGTGCGATTCTTCATTCATTCAAATGAATGAAATTTTGCATTAGTCACTGGTTCTATGTTTTTTCCCGGCGACTGGCCCTGTTTGCCCAGACTGTGTTTAGTAAGGCTTGATACTTCTGTGCTTGAAATCTAGTGTTTGAATAGAGGCCAAATACGTTTACATTTGTATTCAAGAATTTGGCAGATATTATTATCCAAAGTAACTTCAAGGACTGAGCACAAGTTCTTGCTTTTGCTGAGATTCGATCCCAAGACATTGGCTTTGAAAATGCCACACTCTACCAACTGGACCACAGATACTATTCTTTTTTTATATAATTTCAGAGCATTTTAGACCATTTATTAATACAATTTCTTACGCTTAAAATCATTTGAGACAATTAAGCAGATAATTTAATATAAATAAAGATAAAGCAGCTAGCAAAGTATACCAAAAAATACCTCTTGCATTTTCTTTACTTGGCGGTCAGTTTGTTGCACTATGACCAATCATTATTTTACCGGTGCTTGTGCCAATCACACCGGCTTTTTTATTTCAAATATATTGTGTTGGTGTCAAAAATGTTTTTGAACATTTTATTCCAAATATTTATGCATTTATAGTTTTGATATTTTAGGTTTTAAACAAACATTTGCAAGGTAATTCAAATAAGATGTGTCAAAAATGCGCGATACAAAAATGGCCCTAAATCGGTGACATCTTGTGGTGAAAATAAAGCTTTAATCTTGTCTTTTAATTTATTTTTTTTTATTTTGTAACAACACTTTTTTTATATAAAACATAAAAACTGTTCATTCTTCTTTTTGATAGTTTTTTTTTTTTTGGTTTTCAGTTTGGTTGTGAAATTTAATTTAGAAAATATTAGTAAAACAAAAGATTCTGGCGTTGTACTAAATAATTTCAAGCATTGCCCTTTTTTGGTAATTTATTAGAGCAAATTGTAAAGTACTAAAAACCTCTTAAAAGGCCCCAGACTTCTAAAGAAGTCTGTTTTCAAGGGAGAACTGATCTAATTAAATGGTGCAACTAAATAATAGAAGCCAGAAAATAAAACGTTTTAACCACCCGTTTAAACGTTTTATGTTCTATTCCATTATTGCTCTGGAGAAAATTCTCATCACATGTCAAATATGGTAAAAGAAGTACATTGAGTGTTAATTCCTGCATTTCCTGTGACCACAAGAGATTCTACCTCTTTGATTTAACATTTACAATTGTTAAATGCAGGTATGTTATTTTTTTTAAAGCAATTCTGATGAGCCATTTATAGATTTATAAACCAATGATACATTTTGAGCATTCCAGTTTGACCTGAAAATGTAATGTACTATTACGTTTCTTTTGCTTTTTTTGGCTCTCTTCTTCAACCTCCTTATCTCTCTTTAGCTCATTCGTCTTTGTCAAAGCTCAATCTGACCATTACCCTGTGACGGGTCAATCAATGTTATCAGGTTAACCACTGTCTCAGCGCCTCTGAAGGTGCTTGCAGGGAGAGCGAGTTAATAGAACAGCCACCACGTGTTACCCCAGCACACATCATCATAGACACAACTACACTCCATCATACTACTCTAGCCTCACCTCAGCAGCCTGTGACCATGGAAACTGTATCCAGCGACATCTGTTGCCTAGTATGCTGCTTAGAGGCAGAGTTTTTGTCTGCATCAAAGGGATGGCTCAGCTGATTCATTCCATTGCCCTTCATGATAAATGTGCACAACATAAACTAAGCATAATTCTCTTCACTTTCTAGCCCCGCAAACTGAAAATAGCTGGGACAAAATTATCTGTGAAGATGTGTTTCACTCAAGTTATGTTTCTTAAATGGGGAGTGCTTTAAGAAGTAGTGCGTGTTGCTCAGAATTTTTCGAAAAATACATTTTATTGGATGTAACTATTAATAATCATGCAAGTGCATTAAAAGTGTGTATTTTGTTATCTATAATTAACTCTGTTTCAACCACAAGTATTAAGTGTCAAGGCAGAACCTCAAGCGTTTATAACGTGATGGGGGTTTTGTTCTTCTTTGAGCACTGCACTTTGTCTGCTTGGTGACCGCACATATCTCCAGCAGTGAAGAATACAGTTTCTAGGCATCCCAAAGTTTTTCAAGGCAACTTTCTGAGTTTTTGCTCCTCAGAAGAACAAGCCAATGCTGAAGCTCAAACACTGACGACCAGATTTGCTCTATTTGTCATTAATGACCTGTTCAGGATTTTATTTTTCAATGTTTTATTGTGATCACAAGATGTACTTGAGGATTTAATTAATCTTATGAGAGTGAATTACTAGTATATTTTGTTTGAGCCATTCTTTGCTAGTTATAGAAATGTTCAGTTGGACCAAAAATGATAAAAATTTTGAGAGCTTTACTATTTTTTTTTAATATACAAGTTTTTTTTTGTCAATAATTATGAACATGTTCTTTTAAAACCCATAACAGATAAGATGTTATGTAGTCACTGTTTATTCCAAAGGATTGTGTGTTTCCACATGATTGACTCAGTTTCAGGCAGCTCTTGACCATGTTTTGTGTTCCTTTGTGGCATCAAACGATAGCTGTTTATATACAATCCTACATCTGTAATATCTGGACCACAACCGGTGCACATCTGGAAACCGTTACCTTCAGTACGGCTGCTGTACCTAAAGATGCTTTCAATTCCTCACGCTGAAACGGCAGCTATTAGTTTGTCAGGGTGCTGTGGTTTAATTTATGTTTTCTTCAGTTGTCTTTTCATAGTGATGACTTTGGGGTAAAGTGATTTATCTTGGCGTTCTAGGGATAAAAGTGAAGGCTTGAAGGAAGAACCCAGATGATTTCAAGTGCTTTTCTGGGAACTGAACACGTGACATTCTGGTCATTTTTACTATTAGTTTTATAAGAAAACTAATAGTAAAAATAGTATCCTCCATAAAACCGTCTAAATAGATATACTTTTTCTGATGACATCTGAATTATTATCTCAACCAATCCCCTTATTTTTATCTGAGGTCCTGTACTAATGACTAAAGGCAGCTCCAGTTCTTCTATAATGCTGGGTTTTTTGTTAATGTGCTTTTTTTTTATACCAAAACCATTTTTTTGGACTTAATAGCTGCATCTTTACTTTTTGGACTGGTGTTTTCTTTATAGCTCTTCATGCAATGTTTGTTCATCATGTGCTGTGGGATTTTTAAACCATGCCTGCAAACTTTTTTGGTAAACATCAGTGTCTGTATGTCTTTAAAGGTAGTATAGGTGATTTCTGGAAGTTGTGGTTTATATTTTGAATTCATCCAAATTGCACCAAAAGGACCATGCCATGCTATGATAACCTGCAGACGTTCTGGTTTGCAGAGCGGTCATCCATCACAGCTGAAGTTGTCCCTTTGCCTCCATTTTAATGAGGAAACAATTGGTAGCAGTTAAAACTAAGCACCAAGAGACAAGTTTATCAAGTTTAAGCTCCAATAACATTCAAACTGAACACCAGTGGGTTGAAGCCTTGTATTAATCCTGCAGCTTCACCCAGTCACTTCACTCACCCCTGCATGGAAAAAATTAAAAAACTATTGTTTTTTTTTCTCATAAGATGAGAATTATAAACTGTGCTGATGGTAAAATAATACAGTGTGTCAAACAAGGTCATCTTGCTTCTTTGGCTAAACAGAGTTTTACACTATATTTCTGCAACATGTTTCTTTAAGAAAACTTTTAATTGTGCAGCTTTAATGTGATAATGCTTCTGTTTTTATTATTGTATAAAAAATAAACCTTTTTGAAAGTTGCCAATCGAATTGAGTCTAAAAAATCAACATTCCTTTTTTGTCTTCAAGTCGTCAAGCTCTAGCAAGCATCCAGCCAATTCTATAAGGGCTTCATGGTGTCTTTTAATGTGTTTGCCTGTGATGGAGAAACTAGTAAAAATGACTTGTTTCTGCTGTTTGTGACAGGAATGTGAGTTCAGACGGGGCTGAGGCTCGCAGGCGCTTAAGAGAGTGTGAAGGCCTGGTCGATGCCTTGCTGCATGCGCTGCTTTCTGCTGTGGGCAAGAAGGACATGGACAATAAGGTGAAGAGCATTCTTTCATTTAGGTTTGAGTAAAAATACACTGCTGGGAATGTAATAGATAAAAAAAACAACAACTTTATAGTAAATCTATGTCTGGTAATAATAATAATAATATATTTTATTTTGAGGCTGCTTTCAAGGACACCTAAAAGCATAAGAGATGCAAATATAAAAGGTCTCTGGACAGTAGGGTTAGGGAGCAGATTAAAATACTTTAAATGAGGCACACACTCATTGGATCTCAGTGCAAGTAAGCGAGCCTAAACAAATGTGTGGCAACTAATGATTATGTAGAAGTATAGTGGTGATGTGTTCTGAACGAGGAGTTTTTAATTCTGTATTTTGAACAAGCTGTAATTTCTGAACAGATTTGGAAGGCAGACCAAATATTAATGAATGGAAGTAGTTGATGTGTGATTTCCCCAGAGCATGGTACAGGATGGCAGATTTTATAGAAAGTAGAGGGCGATTGATATTTTATACATGGAAAACTGTAGAGTGGGAAACTGAGTTGATTTGAAATTGAAAGTGGAGGGTTTGGTCAAATATGTCAGCTATGCTCATGACCTTTTTGGACAAGGAGACAGGGGAGTTATTCGTTGGTTTGTTAGCAATGTTGACTTTAGATTTTTGTTTTGAATTAATGTGTAGAATTTTGGATTTGTTGTTTATTTTTAGAGCTTAATGGTGTTGAAGTAGTTTTCTCTCAAGATAAGGTGGGAATGAAGAGAAAGGTCTGGTGTAAATATATCATGGATCATCTGCATAGGAGTGAAATTAGATTCCAAATTTATAGAAAGAGGGGAGGACCCAAAATAGAGCCCTGTTGAACACCAAATGTTACTTTTTGTGTTTGAGTTAAAAATGTAGGTTTGATTGTGAATTATTCAGTATTCCACTTCTTGCTTCTTTTATTTTGCTCTATGTTAACAGCTTCCTGTTTCTCTCTTGCTGTCAGTCTGTAGAGAATTGTGTTTGCATCATGAGGAACCTGTCATACCACGTGCACAAGGAGGTCCCTGGAGCTGAGAAGTTTCAGGACCCTATGACTCTTCAGGGCTTGGGCTCTGCCGGCACACAGAGGAAGAAGAAAGATGATGCTGGCTGCTTTGGGGGAAAGAAGGCCAAAGGTCAATATTCAGTTCTTATCGAGTGTCTTTAAAGTTTTCTACATCTAAAAAAATGATCATTAAAAGCTACCCTAGCAGCTATTTCACAAGATGATGCTCTGAAATGCACTCAAAC